CTTTAATTTCAACGTGTTACCTATCAACAGTATGCTTTCTTTTGTTCTTGGCAATCAGGTTCCTTACTCTGTCTTGTCTCCTCAACAAACTCTATACATTGTGCCTCTTTGAGTCTTTGGATGCACATGTTTTGTCCATGATCGTACTTTAAATAACGATAAAATTTCTGCCAAGTATCTCAAGTGTCTCTTCCTTGTCCATTCTCGCCTTTAAAAGGGTTATCATTATTTTTGGCCTCAACTATAATGATATATTGTCTTTGATGATGTAACCTTTTTGAGATTATCCCTTTTTTCTCCTCTCCCACCATTGACGACGATGTTCTAGATGTGTCACCTATTGTTCCGTTTGTTGAGCCAGCTCCAATTGTTCCACCACCAATACTTATCCACCATAGACATACACAACCTCCACTAGTAGTTACATCTCATGATCCTCCAATATCATCACCTACTCTAAATGCACATCGGCCAATGTCGCTTGCACCTAACCTTTCCATAGCTCTTCGCAAAGGTATTTGGTCTTCATGTAACCCTAATCCCTTATGTTCCTTTTCTCTTTATTACGATCGTTTGTCTCCCACCTATGTCTCCTTATCTCTTCTTTGGATTCTGTGTCAATTCCTAAGTCCGCAAGTGAAACCATGACTAATCACAATTGGCAACAAGCGATGTTGGAGGAAATGACTGTTTTACATGCTAGTGAGACTTGGGAGCTTGTCCCCTTACCCATTGGTAAGACTACTATGGGTTGTCGTTGGGTTTATACAGTAAAGATCGGCCCAAATCACCTTAGTTTGTCTTTTTCTTGCTATGGCAGCTATCCTCCATTGGTCTCTTCATCAATTGGACATTAAAAATGCTTTCTTACATGGTGAGTTGCAAGAAGAGGTTTACATGGTAAGTTGCAGCCACCAGGTTTTACAATTTCAGGGAACTCTTCTTTGGTTTGTCGACTTCACCGTTCTCTATATGGTTTGAAGTAGTCCCCTTGTGCCTGGTTTGGTCGTTTTAGCTTTGCCTTACTATAGTTTGGCATGACTCGCTATGAGATTGATCACTCTATGTTTTCCCTTCATACTTCAGCTAACCTTTGCATCTACCTAGTTGTTTATGTTAATGATATTGTCATTATCGGCAATGACTCAGATGGTATCCTTCAACTCAAATTTCATCTCCAAAGTCAATTTTAGACAAAAGACTTAGGTTCACTCAAATACTTCTTAGGAATTAAAGTTTTCCAATCCTCTTCTGGCATAATTCCCAATGTAAGTATGCTTTGGACATTTTAACAAAGATTGGTATGCTTGATTGTCTCCCTAGTGATACACCTATGGATCTCAATGTGAAGCTTCTTCCAGATCAAGGGGAGCCATTGAAAGACTCGGGAAGATATCATTGTTTGGTAGGTAAATTTAATTACCTCACTATCACTAAATCGGACATCTCATTTGTTGTCAGTGTCACTAGTCAGTTCCTAAACACCCTTTGTGATAATCATTGGGATGTAGTGATCCACATTCTTAGATACATCAAGAATGCACCAGGTTGTGGATTACTTTATTAAGACAAAGGCAATGCCAAGATTGTCTGTTACTCTGACATTGATTAGGCAAGATCACCATCAGACAGAAGGTTTATCTCTAGATATTGCGTTCTTATTAGAGTGAACTTGATCTTATGGAGAAGCAAGAAGTAAAACACCGTTGCTAGATCTGATGCTAGAGCTGAGTATCATGCTATGACAGAAACTACATGGGAAATACCATGGCTTAGGCAACTTCTCTTACAACTAAAATTTGGAGACATTCAAGATACTAGACTAATACGTTACGATCAAGTTATTCTCCATATTGCATCAAACCCAGTCTTCCATGAATGGACTAAACACATAGAGATTGATTGTCACTTTGTACGAGAGAAGGTTTTGTCAAGTGAAATCATTACCATGGTTGTCAAACTCGCGAGTCAACTCGTAAACTCGTACGAGTCTACGAGTCTAGGGTAGCCAAACGGGTTAACTCGCCCATAGACTCGTTTTTTGGTAGACTCGGGCTGACTCGGGTAGACTCGGTCAGAATCGCGAGTCTGAGGCCGAGTCCACGAGTCTGGTTCCCTTTTTTTTTTCACCCCTAAATGGCCCAAAACGACGTCGTTTTACCTAGGGTTAGGCATTTTTCCCTTCGCGCGAAGATGCCTCCATCATTCTCACGTTTTTGACCTGGTTTCTCTCCCTCCGAGCGTTCGAACACTCATCTTCGCTGGTACGAACGTGCATCTCTGCTGCTACGAACGCCCATCTCCACCGCTACGAACGCCCATCTCCGCCGCTACGAACACCCATCTCCGCTGCTAGGAACGAGCATCTCCGCCGCGTACGAACGCTGCCGCTGCATACGAACGCTTGTCCTCTTGCTGGGAAGGACGCGGGTCTGTTTCTGTTTTCTCTCCCTCCGCTGCATCTCTGCTGCATACGAACGCGTCTACGTGAGTGCTATTTCTCACTCTAGCATTTTTTGATTTTTTGGTCTGTTAGTGTTATTCACAATTTATATACTTAGTCTCTTACTCCTAAAATTAGCAAGATGTCTGAAACCGGTGGTGGCTCAAAGTCTTCAAGCAATGCAGTTTCTTCTTCCAGAGCAAGGAAAAATGCCCTTGAAACCGGTGATTTAGATCTTGTTTTATGTTTTTGATTTGTGGACCTATGTGTTTTTGACTTTTTGTTGTTTATGTATGGTTTAAGATTTGTATTGTGACATTTTATTGTCGTTATTTGACTTATTTCAGACTTAGAATGTTGAAATAGTGATATCATATTGTGTGTGTTCATGTTTTTTAATATCTTTTAATATTAGGTAGACTCTTACGAGTCTACGAGTCGAGTCTACGAGAGCTCCACGAGTTTGTGTAGACTCTCGAGTTTGACAACCTTGATCATTACTAACTATGTCATATATATTCACCAAATCCCTCAAGGGCTCCCAAGTTGATGACATTTGTAACAAGCTCGGCTCATATGACATATATTCTCCAACTTGAGAGGGAATGTTAAATATATGATATGATGTGATATGATTTGATATGATTTCTTTGTAATTAGGGAAACTTGAATAGCAGAAATTAGGGATTATACACAGTATTATTTGTTATCTTTTATTTTCGTATTTTCTTATTTTGTATCCTTATCCATTATAAATAGAGGTGTGATAATTTACACACATTTTCTTAGCATTTCTACAGACAGATTCTCTTTTGCTATCTTCAGAAGTTTAGGGTTTATTATCCTCTAGTTCAGCCAAGGCAAGTTGTGTGATGAAGGCACAAGATAAAGAAAAGAAGAAACTGCACAGCAGCAACACAATGCTTGTGCAATGAAGGCATAGAGATTTGTGGCAGCAACAAAGGTGGTCGTTTAGGGTTTGCAGCAGCAATGGAGGTTGCTGTCTAGGGTTTGCAGCAGAATGAAGATTGTCGTCTAAGGTTTGAGTTGGAGACTCCCAAATTTTGGGAACTCTGACACCGTCTAGAATTTTGAGGAAGAATAAATTGATATATTATCTTACATGATAATGAGAATACATGAGCTATATATATATACATAGCTTTATTAGCTAATTTAGGAAATAAAATAATAGCCTATTATTATTATGAAATCAAATCAGATCCCTATAATTATGGGATATTTAAGATCCTCGTAATTATGGGACATTTCCTAATTTACTAAACCTGTACTAATAGGAAATAACTACAAGATTTTCCTAATTATACATGCAAGATTTCTGATAAATATGATGGGGCGAGTTGGGTGACCCATGATATCGTTCTAACTAGTAACCAAAATTCTCTTTATTCGATATCCTAACATTTAATAATTCAAATAATAATGTGATAAAGCCCCTAGTAATTAAGAATGGGAATAGTTCAGCTCTTAAACAAGGGTTCATGAATTATTAACAATATAATTAAATAAGTATATTTGTAATACAAAAATTCAAGTTATTAATATTTTTTTACACTTCTATTACACTTAAACGTTTTATATTCCTTGTCCATGTGAAATCAAGATATAAAAAATAAAAATTCTAGTAGCTACATCTTCGCCTACTTTTTTTCCCTTTATTTTCATGGTTGAATATTTAGAATACTTCAAATGTGATATAGAAAATATTTAGAATTTTTTTAATAAGATTATTTTCTTCATTACAATCTGTGCATAAGTGTACATGAGTATGCATGAGTTGTCTCTAGTTAGCTTTATATTTTTTATTTTAAACTCTAAATTTTAATAATAATAAAGTAAACTATTTTTTATCATGCAAATTAAAAAAGACTTATGATACAAATTAAACAAAGACTTGTACATGTATTTAAAAATATAATTGTTATTTAAAATGAAATTTATTGGTCTAGCTAACATTGTTAATGTAAAATAGACTAATTACAAAATAGGTTTTTAAATAAACTAATAGGCCATATCAAGTTTTAAAAAGGTCAAACCAAACTTATAAAAAAATATGATAGTTAATAGGTTAGACTTGAACTTTAATTTTATAAAATGGTTTGACCTATATATTCAAAGTTTAGCCTAACCTAGCCTATTCCCATATCACATATGGTACTGCATAGGGGATGCAAAGTAGAGAATCAACACATGTGGATAAGGACACAGGATGACAAAATGGGAAATATTCAAATACAAACAATGGAATGCTTACATTACATAGTCAAATGAGGAGAGAGGATAAAATTTGTTTGGGGTGTGAGATAAAGGTGAACAGGGAGAGTAGGAGTTAGGCAAGAATGTGTGAAGGCTCTAGGCCATTTGGGAAGGGTGGTTGGCAGACCTAAAAAGATCTGGGGGTGCTTCAATCTTTATTTTCTGTTTCGGTTTAACTAAAGGATTTTAACCTATTGTTACGAGCTATAAACCATTTGTTTTTTCGTTATCATTAAATGAGTTCCTATCATAATGGTCAATTTATTTTTTATATTGGCAGTCAACGTAGATGATGCTGTGGATGATATTGTACGGCAGTTTAAAGGTGTATCAGATGGTTTCATTCGAAAAGTTGTTGGTTTATCATCCCCTACTACTGAAGGTTCTTCTACATCAAGATTTTTCTGGAATGTGGATGAAATGGATAAAAGTATTTCAAGGCAAAATGCTGCAGAGTGTGTGTTAAGCTCTGATAACGAGGAAGGTGAAAAGGAAGTTAATTTTGGTCATGAGAATATTGATAAAGAAGTAGCAGAAGATAATGAGTGGCATTCTGACAATGAATTGAGCTCAAAGGATTGTTCACAACTGGTTATAAACCATGGTAGTGAGCCTAGTAACTCGGATCTAGATAGAAAACATGATGCAGCAATTGAAGCTAAGGTTGAAAAGGATGTCGCAGCTACAAATTTAAGTCCAGTTCCTGATAATATGGAGGATCCAGATGAAGTTCCACCTGAGGTCTGTAGTCAGATGGGCTTCCTCTCTTTTTTGTTTTGTACAGCACACTTGTTGATTGAGATGTTTGGTTCACTGCTACTTATTGATGTGTGATTAAGTTATGCATTAGCTCTCTACAGGACCAGGCTGATGAATGGTATTCTCCCTACTTGGTAAAGTTGTGGATAGCATTTAGTTTAGATTAATCATACATGATGAAAACTGTACAACATTCCTATACTAGTAATGGTCTCTTATCTTTCTTTAAGGGAGAAAAAAGATAATGACCCTTTCCTCAAATAAGTTGGTAAGAAGAAAATAAATCTGTGCTTTTATTGAATTTGGTTCCATTAGCTGGCTAACGGCTTGTTCAAATTGTTTTTGTGAATTGGCATATATCTAACAAATATGGAAAGGAGATGAACTGTTTTTAGGCACCCTAGTTTTTGTAGATCTGCTCCAAAAAGGATGTTACTTCCAATGGTTTTCAATTGTTAAATAAAGATGAGAACCATGAGGCAATACGATGGTGTGCAGTGACAAAATATTTTGGAAACCTTCTGTCCATTCTAAAGGAAAGAATGATTATTTGAGAGCCAGAACAAAGCAAGACTGAAATTTTACTTGTGACTCTGCTAAGCACAATGTTGTCTGTATCTTGGGCATTTTTTTGGCTGTCCATTCTTTGATGATTACTTTTTGTTGTTAAATGAATGTGCCAGTCCCTACACTAATAGAGAATATTCTAATACATTCATACATTCAAAAATTTGTAATTGAGTACTCATAATTTTGAAATTCTTAATTGAATCCCTACAATTTCAAATTTCTTAAATCGGGTCCCAACAGTTACAGCATTGTTATGGTGCTCTAATATTATGCCAGATTGAAGGGCCCAACTAAAATTTTAAATTATAAGGATTTTGAAAGTTTATGATTTAGTCCCTATAACATCATAAAAAATTAATTACATTCTTATAAGTTGAAACTTTTAATTTGAGTTTGTGAATTCAGCCCACCAAAGATGCTCTTACAATAGGGACTAAAGTAGAAATTTTGAAACTATAATGATCCAATTACAAACCTTATAGGGACCAATTTGGACATTTTAAAAAATTACAGGGACTATGGATCAATTTAACCTTTTATTTTTTAAATACACTATTAACCTTCATAATTTCAATCATTTTTGCAGTGGACCCCACCTAACGTGACTGTCCCTATTTTGAATTTGGTGGACAACATATTTCAGCTTAAGAAAAGAGGCTGGCTAAGGTATGCTAATCTTTCTGGTCTTCCTATATTTCCAAGGTGACTATTATTTGTGTATATATTGTCTACAACATTTTTTTGGTTGATATACTGTCAAAAACATTTAATCTTATGCCAAATTTATACAAGTTTATGTTTGTTCTGTGTTTAATGTGGTTTTCTGCCTCGCAAGTTATTTAAGATGTGTGACTTTTGCATGTTTAGAGATGTTGAACTTACAGGCATTTAAGTAGAGGTAGAGAATAGAGACTTTGAATCATATTCTATTTTGTATCATGATGTATTACAATATGATTTTTTCACAAGACCTCAAGCACTAATCCTTATTTATATTAACCATGATCCTAACTAAATAGGGAATCTAATCCTAAAGAAAAATCTAAGATACTCTAAGATATGACCAACATATTTTGGATATCTTCATTTATTCTAACACTCCCCTCAAGTGAAAGCTTATTACAAGGACAGGCTGATTCTCTAGATATAAGTTCAAATCCAGGGAGATTACACCGGGACGAGATTGACGCAAGTAACAGCTTCCAGAAAAAAGATTGTACTCACATCCACACTTGGTAGGGACATGCATTGGGAAAGCTGGATGCAAAACAAACAATGCACACATGTAGATGTATAAGGACTCTAATGTGAGTGAAACCAACAAGATTGGGGAGGCTTTGCAGAGATGAATCAGATCTACTGGTCGGTGTTATCCATGGCAACCACCACCCAAGAGGAGGGTTAATTTGGAAAAAAAAAATGCATTTTGATACATTCAAACTTTTAGAATGTGGGTTATGGGCCTAACTCAACCTTACAAAATCAGCTTATAAGATGAGAATTTCTCTCCACTTAAATATACTATTATAGCCTTATCTCTCTAGTCGATGTGGGATCTCTAACACACTCCTGACGTCGAGGGCTACATCTTGAGTGTGAAGTTTGCAGAACTGTACATTTATGAGTGGTCTAATAACAGTCCGATAGCAAGTAACCTAATAACCCCAACAACAGGAATCACTAGGATAAGTTCTGATACCATCATAGAATGTGGGTTATAGGTTTAATTCAATTCTACAAAATCGGCTTGTAAGGCAAAGATTGCTCCCTACTTATATACACTATTATAGCTTTATCTCTAGTTGATGTGGGATCTCCAATACAAACAAAAGATGCAGTAAAATAAGTCTAGAAAAGATACAAGCTTTGTAGATTATTAAAAATATAGATGCAGGCCAGGAAAAAATCCAAATTCAAATTAAAGATTGCAGGGAAGAAGGAATCAATTTCAAAGATTTATCCTGATTTGGTCACTGTTAGAATAGTGGATTAAGCCTAACTCAACCCTACAAAACCGGCTTGTAAGGTGAGGGTTGCTTTCCACTTATATACTATTCAATTACCTAATCTCTAGTTGATGTGGGACTTGAGTTTTTCCCAATACACCCCCTCACGTCCAGCACTATTGGGCTTGGTACGTGGATAAATGGTGGGTGACCCTTTTTTAATGATCTAGGATAGGCGGGACTTGGGTTTTTCCCAATACACCCCCTCATGCCTATGAGGCATGCATCAATGGTAGGTGACCCATTTTTAAAGTGGATCTAAATGGCTCTGATACCATGTTAGAATAGTGGATTAAGCCTAACTCAACCCTACAAAACCGGCTTGTAAGGTGAGGGTTGCTTTCCACTTATATACTATTCAATTGCTTAATCTCTAGTCGATGTGGGACTTGGGTTTTTCCCAATAGTCACTAAGTACTTCGTGACTGATGTCTAATCCCCAAGTAGAGATTAACATGTTTCTTGAACTAAATGAATCTTTTGGAATATCCTTTTACAACCATATGGGATACCTCACCCTCCTCTCAATCAATCAAACAAAGTTGCTAAGCAATAGAGAAACTCTCAACAGGTGCAGATATATGAATTGAAGTGCTATTGATAATGGGATGTGTAAGATAAGCCCAAATGGAAAATAGGAATAAGGTTCATGTTGGTTTCCAAATCCATAGTAAAAGACCCTAATTTTAAACTCTAAGAAGCCTTTTAAATATGATTAGTGATCTGTAAAAAGGATAACTTTACCACATTTAAAATTTGAATGTTAACAATCTAATATTCACCCTAATTGATTAGGTTGATAGTATAGCAAATTAGGAAAATGACAGCGCAAAGCTCTCATCAATTAGGTTTACTTTCCTAATTGATTAAGGCCTTCATTGGAATTTTATGAAAAACAAGCATAAATTGGGTAACCGATTGTCTGAAGTTATCTAATTAATTAGAAGCTTTATGGAATGAAATCAAAATCATTGCTTACCTTTCTTAATCTAATTGATTATTGAGATAAGTAATATCATTAGTTAAGAACTCCTAATTTTGATTATTTATTTGAAAAAACATAAAATTTATGCAACTAAGGAATTGTGCACAAAATTAAATTGATTTGAGTTTTGTTTGGATTAAGTATTTATCAAACCACAACTTCATTCTTTATCTCTACACATTCATAAGCCTTAAGAAGAATGAAATTGATGCATCTTAGGTTTGGATCATCCACTAGTCAACATGTGAATTTGGTTGTTTGGTCCTTAGGCTTCTTGATTTCATTCAAGCTTCCAAAAACTCCTCTCTTCAATCTTACAAATACTTGGTTGTTTTTATCATTACCCTTCTTGTTGAGTTGTTCATAATTAAGATCATTGACTTCCTTGCTCCAATGCTAACTCTCAATACTTGACTATCTGATAGCAATACTTCCCACGAATCTGAGGCCCAAGATGAAGGCACGAGACCCAAATGAGTTACCAAGAATATTACCTTCAGGATTACGTGTGAAGTTGTTAGAAAAATAATACACGCGTAACTGCCATATACGGATTTTTATTACCCTGCTAGATGCTATTTTTCTGTTACCGAGAATCAAGGAGAACAAATGATTAGTGATCGTAAACGTTATGTATATTTTGCTCTATGATTGAATGAAGGCAGTGAGAAATTATTACCAAATTTATTCTTATTATTTTTGTTAGGATAGTTCTGGAGGTCTCTTGTTCTCGAAAACAAGGCATATTATTCCCTACCCCTATCACTATCCTACACAAATACTCACTTGAAAAATATAGTTAGTCCAATTTCAACATTTTATAATATAATGTGCATCATCTGATATGCTAAATGTGTCAAATGAAGGGATGAGGGATGCTATTATCACTGTGGATTGACCTTTGGGCTAGGTCACTGTTGTCCAGAAAAAAAAGTATGAGTGGTAATCTGGGCTAATGATGAGCAAGTTAATGAAGATCTGGAGATTACAACATTAGAAAATGAGGATGGGGATGAGGAGGAAAGTGAGAGATTTTGAGGCAGTATGCCCGTGGATGGATCTTTCAATGTGTTCTGCAAATGGGCTAACCCAGCCTCAAACCATGAAGCTTAGAAGCAATTTGCAGGGACAAGAGGTGGTGATCTTGATTGATAGTGGAGTGAGTCACAACTTTGTATCTAGCAAATTGGCACCAAAAATTGGGGCTCAATGCAGATTCCACAAAGCTCTATTTTGTAAGACTGGGAGATGGTAACTACAAGTCCACTCAAGGATGCTGCAAGAAAGTAAAACTACTGTTAGTCAAGTAGCCTCGTATAACTTAAGAGGGGGGGTGGTGAATTAAGTTATCCAATTTTTACTCTTTTATGAGTTTTTAGTAAAGCTTTCTTAGAAATTCTACTTCTTAGACAAATTGTATATAAAGATTAATGATGCAAAACTACTCAAACACAATTAAATAACAAGTAATTAAAAGTGTAGGAAAAGAAGAATTGCAAACTTGTTTTATATTGGTTCGGCCAATCTTGCCTACGTCCAGTCCTCAAGTCTCCAACTTGAGATTTCCACTATTCTTGTAATTCTTACAAGACTTGAATCCTCCAACACCTTGGAACACCCTTTCCTTGTGTTGAGATTCAAAAACCAACAAGGAGAAAACTCTTTCTCCTTTACAGATCAAATGATCAAGTGGGTATAACAGAGTAACTCTCTTTGAAGAGTAGATTTTACACTTTGATGATCTTAATGAACTCTTTAGATACTAATGCAAATGAACTTGGCCAAGAAGTTTTGTAAATATGTTTTTCACAATAGAGTTCGTAACCTTCTTCTGAAAAATTATAGGTATTTATAGACAATTATTTCTTAAGTTGTGTCTTTTTATGAAGAGTTATAACTCTTTACAATTTTTTTAGTAAAGATACTTTGGTAATCGATTACAAGGAATTGGTAATCGATTCTAACAGTTTTAAGTTCAAAAATAATTTGAAACGTTGTATCTTTTAAATTCAAATTTTGAACTTCTCTCTTCTGGTAATCGATTACCAGAACACGTTTTTAGCATTTGAATTTGAATCAAGAAGTTTTCTTCTTCTGTTAATCAATTACTTAAACTGGTAATCGATTACCAGATAGATATTACTAGTTTTGCTTTTTGAAAACTTATGAATTTAGAAGCTTTTACTTACCGGTCAAAATTATTTTTGTATAGTCTTTTTGAACACTTTACTTTTTACTTTCTTTTTCAAAAATCTTATTCTTATATTCAAAAAGACTAAAGTTAAGTATTTCTTGAAATCCTTATTTTAATGGCCAAATAAAATTTGCAATTTCTAAAAGTTCCTTTTACATATTAAGCTAAGTTGATAAGACTTATCTAGTTAATTCTTGAGATCTTATTTCTTGATCAACTTGCTTTAACTTGACCTTTTATTTTCTACAATGCTTTGGCATCATCAAAACTTTGTGCATATGTTCTTCCACATTCTCTCCCTTTTTGATGATGACAATTTACTGTAAAGGGAAAGAAAATAAAAATAGTATATTTCGATCACTCCCCTTTAGTAAAAGGATTTGTATTTAAATAGAAATTTGTAGTGATCAAGTTATATTGTTCTAAACATAAAAGCTAATTTTTTATCATTAGAAAACCAAGGAAAAAAAATGGTATTATTAAAAAAAATGGTTGTTTCTTTTAAAAGAAATGGTTGTTTCTTTTCCCTAGTTCTTCTTTTCCATTTCTCTCCCCTTTTGGCAACATCAAAAAGAATAATGCAGCAGACATAGTGAAAGAGATAACAATCAAGAGTAGAAACTGAAGTAAAAACATAAATATTCCAAAACATAAGTATGTAGAGTCAAGCTGAAGTAAAATTGCAAATCCTAGAACACAACCACATAAAAACATGGAAATAAGCAAATTAAAAAAAAAACCAAAAGTTCAGAATATAATTCAAAGTAACCCTAAGCAAAAGATAAACTAAATGAAACCATCAAAACCTATGTCAACCAGCTACTTGGAAGGTCGGCGAAGAGACTTGACTTCATCCTCAAGACAAGTCATGCGAGTATCTAGGGAATCAAACAGTTCGCTAACAAAGAAACGAAGATCTCTAATCTCATTTATAACATCAGTGAAGAGTGCCGAGGAGGGATCCTGAGGTGGTGGTGAAGGAGTTCGATCATCAAGATCAACATCTTGAAAATCCTGCTTCGGTACCCATGTGTTATCCAGTGTCTTCTTATATCCAAAAGAAGCAACCGCAATAGCCCCAATCTCAAAGGATCGCTTAATTGGAACCCATGCTTCATTATCCAGAGGAACATTAAAATGTTCCAGAATAGTAGTGATAAAATGTAGATAAGGAAGAGGAGCATTTGCCTGCAAGGCCTTATTCATATGATTCCTAATCAAATGAGCCCAGCTAAATTCCTGACCAGTTATTAGAGCCCAAATCAAGATTAAGTCTTCTTTAGTTGCCTGTGCAAGGTTAGTGGTACGAGGAAGCAATACCCGAATAATTATATAGTGCATGATGCGATAATCAAATTTTACGAAACCAGCCAGTAAACGTCCAGACATATCAGCATCATCCACACAAATCATTTTACGGGCATTAGGATGGGAATAATCTTCTTTCCATGCATCAATAATTGTTCCCTCAAACAGTGTTCCTTGATTACTTAATTTTGATAAATCAAAGAAAAGAGACTGATTTATCACTATTGGGATTTTCTTAACCTCACCGTAAATAAGCCCATTTCGGATTTCTAAATTACTATAAAAGACTCTTACTAAGTCAGGATAAACGGGGTTCTTCAGAGACATGAAATCAAGTACTCCAGAATTTTTTAAAATTGTATAACATTCAAACGACTCATCCTCAAAGAAATCAATGTTTAGATATTTGGGATCAACAATATTGCGTTCGGAAAATAACTGGAAGTACCTATCCCATTGTTCATCTGTGGAGAACAGAGTGAGCACGTCCAGAGTAGGGAAAAGGATTTGGTGGAGCAGGAGGGTCATCGGAGGGATCGGTGGCGTGTGTGGGCACGTGCAACTTCTGTTCGCCGCGCGATCGGTGGCGTTGGGTTCGCTGGAGGAAGGCGATCCGGGTAGGGGGGTCGCCGGCCGGAAAGCTGGCGACGGCGGCAGCAGCGAAGAAAAATGCCAAAAAAAGAGGAAAAAAAACAGTCGGAAAGAGACAGGCGAGGTGGGTAGCCAGAAAACGGAATGAGACACGTTTTCCGGGCACCGATGAACAGTGGGTCCACCGGAAAGTCAAGGATAGGCTCTAGATACCATGTTGAGAGTATTGGTGAATGGAGAGAACATATTCCTTGTGTATTGCAAAGCAAAAGATGTGTTTATATACAAAGTAGTGGGCCTAGGCCCATAAGATAAAACTATATCTAACAGATTACAACGGTTTTAAGTTCAAAAATAATTTGAAACGTTGTATCTTTTAAATTCAAATTTTGAACTTCCCTCTTTTGGTAATTGATTACAAGGTCTGGTAATCGATTACCAGAACACATTTTTAGCATTTGAATTTGAATCAAGCAGTTTTCTTCTTCTGGCAATCGATTACTTAAACTGGTAATCGATTACCAGATAGATATTACTAGTTTTGCTTTTTGAAAACTTATGAATTTAGAAGCTTTCACTTACCCATCAAAATTATTTTTGTATAGTCTTTTTGAACACTTTACTTTTTACTTTCTTTTTCAAAAAACTTATTCTTATATTCAAAAAAGACTAAATTTAAGTATTTCTTGAAATCCTTATTTTAATGGCCAAGTAAAATTTGCAATTTCTAAAAGTTCCTTTTACATATTAAGCTAAGTTGACAAGACTTATCTAGTTAATTCTTGAGATCTTGTTTCTTGATCAACTTGCTTTAACTTTACCTTTTATTTTCTACAATACTTTGGCATCATCAAAACTTTGTGCATATGTTCTTCCACAACTACAATTGGGAGTTATCTAATGGTAGGAAACTTCTTTTTGTTTGAGTTGGTAGGAGTGGATTTAATTTTGGCAGTTGCGCGGTTGGTAGGTAATCTTGGGGTAAATTAAGGTGAATTAGAGGACCCTAAGTATGTCATTTATCGATCAAGGCCAGAATGTTGTAATTCAGAGAGATCCTGGTTTTTCTAAGGCAGTGATTACTTTGAAATCACTACAAGAACCAGCTATAGAGGAGGTTGAGTTGATGTCCATGCTGTGGGGTACTACCTTAAAGATGAGCACAGCTTATCACCCGGAATCAGATGGGCAGACAGAAGTACTCAACAGAACCTTAGAAACCTATCTCAAATATGAGTTCAGTTCTTCAACAAATTGGAGCTGTAGGATTTAAATTGCAGCTTCCTGAACAAGCACACATACATCCACCCATATTTTTCAGCTAAAAAGGCTGCAGGCAATCACGAAGTAGAAACAGACCTTCCGGTAGAGTTACAGGGCACCATAGAGAACTACAAACCTAACAAATTTCTTTGTAGTCGCATAGTTACCAAGTATTGCATAGAAACTCCTCAAGTTTTGGTTAATTGGCAAGGAAAACATCCAGAAGAATCTACCTGGGAATACACTTCTGTCATCAGAAATCAATTTCCACGTTTCAACCTTGAGGACAGGGTTGTTTTGAGAGAGGAGGCATTGTTAGGACTACAAGAAAGGGAGAGTTAGTTAGTTATAGTGAGTCAGTGACACAAATAAATAGGAGGACTGAAGAGGAGAGGGGGATGGATATCTTTTCATTTGTAAATTGAGATTTAGCTCTTTGTGAAAGGAGAAATCCTTTTAAGGAACTCAAAACTTGATTTAAAAAGACTCTTAACAATAATATCTGCCACTTGTGGTGAGATAGGAACAAATGGCATACAAATAATTTCATTATCAAGATTTTCCTTAGTGAAATGTCTATCAATCTCAATATGTTTAGTCCTTTCATGTTGCACTAGATTTTGTGCAGTGCTTATTCCTTGCTGTCACAATATAACTTCATGGGTCAGTTGATACAAAACATTGATTCCTCTAGAACTCCCTTCAGCCACATCATCTCACAATTCCTTGTGCCATCTATATTCAGCCACATCATCTATATTCAGCTTCAGATTTTGGTGTGTCCCATTCCCTGGCATGGTATAAATTATAAAACCGTAATGGTAAACTGATTGCAGTTTGATCCTTGCACCCTCTCAATATCATAAATATAATTTTAACACAACGTAGTGGTGATTGATGAATGTATGCTTTGTAATACTTTGAACTTAAAGGTTTTTTTTTTTTAGACTTTGAGGTGTTAAAGAAATATAATCTGCTCTTCACTATGGTACTATCATGATTTCCATTTTTTTAATTTTCTTTTTGATTTGAAAAGCATAATCTACCATAGGAGGCTTATGACATCTTCATGTTTTTTCAACATTCATGCTAAAACCAACAATTAGATTTTAAAAATTGGATTTGACTGAGCAAAATATGAAGCGCTGAGATTGCGAAGCTGTTGACTTCTTTAAATTCCAGGACTTAGAAGTTAGAAGTTACTAATGCAAGCTCCTTTTTGTTCATGCAGAAGACAGGTTTTTTGGATATCAAAACAGATATTACAGTTGGTGATGGAAGATGCTATTGATGATTGGCTCCTAAGTGAGATTCATTGGCTACGCAGAGAGGATACCATTGCTCTAGGGATCCGGTGGATCCAAGATGTAAGGATTGAACCAAATTTCTAAATATTTTTTACTAGGACATTGTTTGCTTGCCAAGAGTTTTTCTATAATGCAAATTAACTCGATCAAACACCTACACACTGTTTCTCAATTTGGTGTGAGATCTAGAGCACTGGATTTTTTAGTGGCTGTGGCTGTTTGTTGATAGATACATTGAGAAGAAAAAATTTGTCTCACTTAGACTCTGTAGAGAAGCCATAGAAATAATCTTGTACTATACAAGTAAAAGGAAAAAGGTTCCTCTTAAAATTCTGATCAGGCTAAAGAAACCAGAACACTGCGTAAGCTGTGTACTGCTAGCTATACCCTATTTACTCACTGAAAGCTCTAAAAACTAATCAAAAGAAACTGCTTCAAGTTGAGAGCTAGCCAAATATTCATCAAACACTTGAAAAGCCTACTTTGAATGTTTAGACATGCAAGATTGGAGAGCTTTTCTGGATTAATTGTCATTGCTTGTTCTTGTTTTTTTAGATTTTGTTTTGTGCTCTTTTCATGTTGACTTCTGTGTTTAAACAGGACATCTTATCTCCCTTATAGTTCTTTATTTCAAAAGATATTCTGATATCATTAAAATAAAAAAGGAAAATTCTGTCAATTTGTCTAACCTATTAGCTTAATATCCTAAATGCATTATTATGTTCACCAGCCTAAAAGAAACATTATAAAATAATTATAAATGGCTTGTGCTAATAAGTCTTGTCAATATAATGTTTGCAGATCCTCTGGCCTGGTGGTAAATTTTTTTTAAGAGTACAGACCCCGCAGGTGTTAATCAGTAGCAGTTTACTTGATCACAAGCCTTTATCAACCATAAGTGAATCTGATGGACCCAGGATTTCAAAATCGCAGTCAGGGTCCTTCGAGCAACAGCTTGAGGCTGCTCGTAGGGCAAGTGATCTGAAGAAACTGCTCTTTGGTTAGTTCTATTTTTCTGTAGAGTCCTATGCAGTGAAATGGGTTAGTGGATATTCTTGTTCTTTTGAAATTTTATTTAAAGTTCTTTCCTGTTTAGATAAAATTCTCCGTAAGTACTTATAAGAGAAGAAAATAGGAAAGAGAAATGAAATTAATTTCTCTATGTTTAAAATTAGTTTATGCACAAGTTTTAAAAAAATGTTTTAGAGAAGCTAATATGACAACTTTTACAAATTAGCTAATGCATGAACTAATTTTAACTTATGAAGGAACTTATTTCATTTCTTTTCCTTATTTTTTCTTCTATAAGTACTTTCCAAGAAGTTTATCAAAATATACACATAAGGTTATTCCATTCAAATTTGACCAATTTGCATGGGTACTGCCAAGGTTTATTTCTTGTAATCACCTCCCATGTGGTTTAGCAAGTTATGTAATCTAGTAGCAATAAATCGTTAGTTTGAGTAGTGGTATTGGACTTAGTTTCCTAAGCAAAACCTCAAATTTGAGTCTTGTAGCTAGAAAAATGTGGTTAGAAGGAGAGATCCCGCAAAAGGTTATCAATCAAATTTCCCAGCAGAAATTAATCATCGGTAAAGCCAGTGGATACATTGCACAAATAATATGGTTATCAAAAAAATATGCAATCTAGTATTAAATAAAGGCATTTAGCAACTTTGATTATGAGTACTCAAAAGGTACCAACTTCTGAAAATTATGGTTCCGTTACAGTTAATTTGAGAGTAACTTCAACGAGTGGGAGTGCATATGAACAAAAATTACTTGATCACCGAATTTACAATTCCAAACAGGAAGGGGTAGTTGGTCGAAGTACAGATGTGTTTATACATTTTACCTTTGATTAACATACTAGGAATATTTTTTCCTAACAAAATCTTGTCAAATGTCTCTTCCTTTAGTTTTATTTTATATTTTTAATATATATTTTTTTAATCTTTGACTTGTTTCTTAAATTTCTTTCATTATTATGGTTTGTCATTTCCTCTTTTGAAAAAAATATGGGATTCCAATCTAATTAATGAAAATTTTTATTTTCGAGAAAGTTAGATGATATCATTTTATTTAAATAGTGGAGTAGTTTCATTGGCCACTAATATAGATTTTATCATTTGAAAATGCAGTTGATGAATTACAACTACTGTTTCTTCAACCTTTAGAATATGTAAAAGGAAAAATGTTATGATGGATCATTACTAATTAGTTGAAATTCATGATCTAGTGCATTACTATTGCTCTAGAAACCTGTTGGAAGAGTGGTTTTCTTTTGAACTTAATGGCTTTGTTGCTGAATAACATGTTTGCATGTTGTGGTATTTTCTTGCTGTTTGTATGGTCTTTATAACCTTGTGAACTTTGAAGTAAATAGTATTTACATTCCTAGAGTTTCACATATAAACTTGCCTCCATTTTTGTCAGATGGAGCTCCAGCAGCCTTAGTTGGTTTAATTGGTCAGAAGCAGTATAAACGTTGTGCCAGCGATATATATTACTTTAGTCAGGTTAAAGTTCTTTCCCATTGATGTATTCACTTGGTAACTGTTGACCCTTTTTTCTGTTTATCTTAGTTTTTGTTTTGTCTACTTGCCCAATTTAGGATTTGTTTGGATAAACTTCTCTAGTAACACTTTCAAGAGAAAAATATATAGGAAGAGAAATGAAAATGAGCTTCTCTATAAACTAAAACTAATTTATGTACAAGTTAAAAATAAAATTTTGGAAAAACAAATAGGAGAAAATTAGGATATGCATAAAGTTAATTTTAACTTATGAAAAAACTCATCTCATTTTTCATTCCTATTTGTCTCTTTTTGGAGAAGTTTAACTGAACAAGCTCTTACTTTCCTTCTAAACTAACAATTAACATATTTCATTGTAGTCTTCTATATGTGTGAAGCAACTTGCTTATGCAATCCTTGAACTTTTACTTATATCCGTCTTCCCTGAGTTGCGTAATGTTGTCATCAGTGTTCATGAGAATATGCACGCTCACCAACCTGTATAGAGTTTCTCAATTACAAGTTGTATTCATGAGATTGGGAAGACACTGTATTTTGTTGTATGGTGTCCAATGTCATGGTTTTCCTAGCTAGTAGTCATTTTATAAGCAAGAACAAAAGTTCCAATTGATGGGGGGTTTTTTTCCACTAGGGAATTGTTTTGTAAACACAGATTGTGTACAGAAGCATTCATTTTTGTAGACTCATTATGCTTTATCAGTGCATTACCATTTACCATTATTTTGTATGGTGGCAGACTAATGAAACTTATCGGTGAAAGATCAGATAATGGTTTTTGTCTTTGTTACAAGAGAAAAAGACACAAAATAGTTATAATAAATTAATAACACCACCGCTACTTGTATTAGTTTCATTAATTTTATGATATTACTATGTTACTGAATAAAATTCTTTAAATTGTTCACCATTTTTATCCATGGTAACTCGTTCTTCAATCTTTTCTTTGTAATTTTTCTAATTTCTTCAAACTTGTTCTACAAACTGATCTTACACTTCGCCTCTTAAAGCATCCAAGTTTTCCATCTATCACTGCTCCAACATTGTTTCACCTCGTAACATATTATCTGTTAATTTTTTTTTTTAAGGATGAATTACATTTTGTATTCTAGAACTTTCACCTTCTCCTGAATTTTTTTTTTAAATGATTTTCTTGCAGATTTTTCTCTAAATTTTAACCTTTTGCCATTCATTCGCTCAGTTACAAAAGAACTACCGACTTGGTCTTTTGTGGGAAAACTTAATGGCGTGGTATTTTACGATTAATTTCTTAAATAGATGTGGCTTTACTTTTGAAAATATTAAAATGATCATAAAAGGTAAGTTAAGGACAGCAAGTAGTGATTGGTAAAACATAAGAATTTAAAAAAATGGAAAATTTTAAATCCTCCGAATTGAGAGAATAGACTTTATAATAAGGTAAAAAAAATTATGGCAATAATAGAAAATTTTGAAAATATGAATAAAAAAATTGCTAAAAATATAATATCATTTTTAGATATAGTGAATAAAATTGCAGATTTTACTTGTAATAATGTTAATAAAGAATTAAAAAGAAATTAATAATATAAAGCAAACATTAGAAAATAATAGTTAAGAGAACAGCACAAACTAAAATAATAAAATAAACAAAATACACGAAGTTTTAAAACAATTAGAAGAAGTTTTAAAAAAATCAAAAAGATAACCGATGCATTACTAAAATGGAATAGAAGAAATAATTATATATTATAAAATGAAAATCATACACAAGTTTAACAAGACTTAACTCATAATGGAGGGGTTAAGGGAAGATTTTATGAAGGATATTAAAATTCTACGGATACTGAAGAAATTTAACAATTACTTAAACAATTAAAAATTATAGAAAAAGAAAATAAACAAATTCAAGAAGTAAAAATATATAAAATAATAATAAAGAAGAAAATGAGGAAGTAATTCTAAATTATTATACTTTTGAATATGAAAATGAAGAAGTTCAAGTAAAATTTGAAGTAGGAGAATCAAGTAATCCTAATAAAAGAAAATGGGATAAATATTATTATGATAATGGTGCATGGGATAAATATGAAGAGAAAACTTTATATAATAAAGGATATGCTAGAAAAGAAGGAAAATGGCAAAAAAAATCCTGAAGAATTTAAACAAGATACCAAGAAATAAAACGAAATAATATACTAAATTTAGACTGTGTCAATAATAAAGAAGAAATATTAACACAATAAACTAATGAAATAACTTTGTTCATAACAACCGGTGAAAAATTAATGGTGTGCTTGATGAGAAATTTTATAAATTTAAAGAATTTAAAATTTTTAATATTTGAATTATTTTGATTTTAATTTTTATCATTTTTAAAATATTTTATTTGGATAAGTCAATTTAAATTTTAAATTGTTAGTTTGGATATGGTAATTTGATTCCACCATGGTAAAATTGATTTTAAATATATATTTATATGTTGAGATTTTTAAATTAAATTTTATAAAAATAAAGATTAGTCAATTTTTAAGTATTTAATAATTTTAAAAATTAATATTAGATAATATTTTATAATTTTAAAAATATTTTTGAATATTCAATAATTAAAAACATGAAGTGATAAGAGATAAGATAGAATATATAAGTGAAATAAGAACAAAAAAAATATATGACGAATTTCAAATTCTTACTTTTTTTGGGAGAATTTGAAATTTTCCTATTTCAAGAAATTTTACAAATGCTTGGATTTCAAATTCTTTGTAAATTCTCCATCCAAACAAAGTATTTCACCTCAAAAAATTTGAAATTCTTCAAACAAATAAATTACTCCATTTAAATTTCTCATCTAAACACACTCTAATGGTGTGTTTGGATGAGGAACTTTACCAATTTAAGAAATTTTAAATTCTTGGTATTTGAATTACTTTGATTTCAATTTCTATCATTCTTAAAATATTTTTTTTGGATAAGTCAATTCAAATTTCTCAAATTTTAAATTTTAGGTTAGATATGATAATTTGATTCCACCGTGATAAAATTGATTTATTTATATGTTGAGATTTTTAAATTAAATTTTATAAAATAAATATTAGATAATTTTTAAATATTTAATATTAGATCATATTTAATAATTTTAAAAATATTTTTGAATATTCAATTATTAAAAAATATGAAGAGATAAGATAAAATATATAAGTGAAATAAGAAGGAAAAAAATATGAGTCAAATTCTTACTTTTTTGGGAGAATTTAAAATTCTACTATTTCAAGAAATTTTACAACTTGAATTTCAAATTTCTTATAAATTCTTTATTCAAACAAGATATTTCACCTCAAAGAATTTGAAATTCTTAAAACAAATGAATTATTTCATTTAAATTTCTTATTCAAACACATTAAAATCTTGTTAAAATATTTATCATCAATAGAAAATGAACAATGGTATAACATAGAAAGAATGGTAAATACTCTCCAAGATTTAGTAAAAACTATAGCAAACGTAATACATCAAGAATTTATTGAGTATGATATGTTTGAACATAAAGAAAAAGTAAATGAATTTTTACATGAAAAAGTAAATATTAGTGGAAAAAACACTTTTAAAATCGGTCATTTTTTACTTTTAAAATCGGTTCTCTGACCGATTTTAAAAGAGCCGATTTTAAAAAGTGGCACTTTTAACATCAATCATGCATCAACTGATTTTAAAAGTAAGACTTTTAACATCGGTTATGCATAAACCGGTTTTAAAAGTTACACTTTTAAATTGGCACAAGTCGTTCCAGTTTTCTCAAAAGGCCTAAAACTGTAGTCTGGAACGGTCTGTACTGCAATTAGAACGACCCGTTCTAGTTGCAGTACGACCCGTACTACAGTCAAAATGGGTCGTTCTGATTGCAACGCGGGCTGTTTTCCAATCAGAACGGCGCGTTCTGATTGCATAACGGGCCGTTCTGATTGGAGAACGGCCCGTTCTGACTGTAGAATGGACCGTTTCAGATTTGAAAATTACAGAAATGCAAGACATGAGAAAAAAATTAGATATTACATTGATATAGTCTTTCAAAGAAAATGAGAAGTTAGGGACTTTAGATGTGAGTGCGAGAGAGAGTAAAGAAAAAAATGAAGGAAATGATTAAAGAGAATAGAGGGAAAGATCAAAGAGAATAGAGGGAAAAATAATAAATATAGGCATTGACATTTTTAAAATCGGTTATTTAAGAACCGATTTTAAAAGTAGCACTTTTAAAATCGGCTTTAAAATCAGTTCTTAATGAGCCGATTTTAAAAGTAACACTTTTAAAAGCTACTTTTAACATCGGCTCCTTAAGAACCGATGTTAAAAGTTACATCAGAGACCTTTTATAATCGATTAAAAGATAGCCGATTTAAAAAGTAATGTCATTATTTACAAAATTGTCACCGCGTCACTTTTAACATTGGTTGCTTAAGAGCTAATTTTAAAACCCCAATTTTAAAAGTGATTTTTGTACTAATGAAAATTACTTTTAAATAAAATTCAAATATGTGATGTGTGTGAAATAAATAATTTCATTTGTGAATATCAAAAATACTATTATCAACTTAATAATCAAACTAAAGAAATTTATAAAGAATTCTTTATTGATAAGTTATCATATCCATTAAATATTGGAATTAGAAAATTTTGGAAAGAATAACCCATGAAAACTGCTGATACATTAGGAGGGATGATTCAAATTACTTTATTCTACTTTAAAAGAACCATGTCTAAAGAGAGAAAAAAATTAGAGAATTAAATAGAGGAACTAATGTAATTTGTTGTAAAATACCATAATTAAAAATCTCAAAAAAATGTAGTTGTACAAAAAATACATTAGAGTAAAAAGAAATTTCCAAAGAAGAAAATCTAGACTAAGAAAAGTTTACCCAAGAAAGAAAAAGCTTATAAAAATACAAGAAAGAAATATTTTCAGAATAAAAAACAAACCCCTAAGAAATATTGTCCAAATGGAAAGAAAAAATGTGTTTGATGGATTTGTAATGAAGAAGGGCATTATGGAAATGAATGTCCTAAAATTAATGATAATAAAGAAAAAATATAAATAATAGAACAAGATACAAGAATTTATAACTTTGAACCTCTAGAAGAAGAATTAAGTGATTTAGAAAATAGTATGTACGAATATTCTACCGAAGAATTATCTATAGAAGAAATAGAACCCGAATATTACTTATATAAGAGTAAAAATAGATATAAAAGAAACCGAAGCATATGTAGCTATAGGAGCAAGTATTTGTATTGAGCAAAAGCACTTCTTGAAAAATGAGAAAAACTAGAAAAAAACCATTAAAGAATACAAGTAACTGATAGATCTATACATCCACTATATTGGGCACCAAAAAGAATTATTACAATTGAAATATGTTCAAAATTATTTCTTATTCCATCAATATATCAACAACAAACAGGAATAGATATGATGATAGGAAATAACTTTCTTAGATTATATTCCTTTTTTGTCAATACTTAGAATATATTATATTGAGAATTCCTTATTTATATAAAAAGTATAAAAGAAAAATTTGTAAAATACCTATTTTACATTACTTAGATTGTAAATACTCGATAAAATCATCAGAGTTTACCAATACTAAGCGTGGTGAGGTAGTATTGGCAATATGTAAAAAAAAAAAATAGACAAAAACTAATGAACTTAAAAATAGGAAGAACTATACCAACACATATAGAGGAACTATTAG